GGTCTAACAACTCTTAGCGCGCTAATGGCATAGTTCCCCTGCCGCATAGAGAGTTGCCGCAATGATATTAGGTTAGCTAAGGTCAGTTAACTGACTGGTGGGAAACGGGAGCTTCAGCATTGACTGTTATGTACGCATTTTTATGATGTTATCTAACAACAATGGTGTGTAGTGTTTACATGATCATGTTTCTAATTCTAATGTGTTGTAAATATAATTGAAAGCATTTGAAAAGTAAGATTCTAGTGTTTTGTATATCTAAAAACATTAGTAAACATCTACATTTGAAAACATTCAAACAACGTTTACTTTAAACGTTTTGTACATCTGAAAACATCAGAGAACAACAAACACGAAGTACAATTAAAAACATCCGAACAACGTTTAGTTCTAACGTTGTGTACATCCGAAAACATCCAAAAAACGTTTGGTTCTAGCATCGGGAAACATCTACGTTAGAAAACATCAGAATACATTTACATATAAAAACATCCGAACAACGTTTAGTTCTAACGTTTTTTACATCCGAAAACAACCGAAAAACGTTTGATTCTAACATCAGGAAACCTCTACATTAGAAAACATCAGAAAACATCAGAAAACATCAGAAAACGTTTACATATAAAAACATCCGAAAAACGTTTAGTTCTAACGTTTTTAACATCTAAAAACATCCAAAAACGTTTGTTTCTAACATCAGGAAACATCTACATTAGAAAACATCAGAAAACGTTTACATTTAAAAACATCCGAACAACGTTTAGTTCTAACGTAATGTACATCAGAAAACATCCTTAAAACGTTTGGTTCTAATGTCAATAGATTGAAATTTTTGACGTCAGACCGACATTAGAATGGCAAAATTTTGTTCCAAAATTTCTGATGTATACACCATGTTACGTTGCTTAAATACAACTAAATCATAATGTTTTCTAATGTTTGACATCAGGCATACATTTGATTACGATGCTGATGTAGACATCAGAATCAAACGTTGGGCTAATGTAAATTTCTATTCGGGCAGCCACCAGACTAGTCGAGCTGCTCAATTTAAATATTGAAACCTTATTTTGTGAAGTTCTTAAGAATACCAAATGAAACACAATGTAAACAAATAAAAGTTAAGAGTCTCATCCGAATCAAATGATTCCAAACGATACGCATTCATAGAAATTAAGTTTAAATAGACAAAAGTAGAAAAAGGAACAATCTCACCAATTCAGTCCAACTGAATCCCTTGCAAGCAGCTATGTCACGCTTGGTGTAGTGGCTCCGATCATAGACCCGCCCTACGGGGATCAATCCTCTGGTCGAATGTAGTCGATTGCTCCATGACGCGAACACGAAGCGACCGCTCACAAAATCATACATCGCGTAAACAAACTGAAATCAAAAACTATCACTCGCGACGCAACAAATTTCTGTACCGGGAGCACAAGCGAAGAAAAAAAAACAAACAACGCAGATTGCGACATCTCTTCTGATGCCTGCAAACATGATGCATCACGTTTTCTTTTTCGATTCCAAAACTTCTCGGAAAGCGAGAAAACCACCAATCACACACGTATAACCGTCCGGGAGGCAGAGTGCCAGCGCTAATCTGGCAAAATCAGCGAACACACGCACAAAACAGAAACAAACTTATACACAACCGTATCCGAAGAGGTTCGAAGCTGAACTGAGTGTCAAATAATCATTGTACACAAAATCAACTTTGTTCAAATCAAAACAAAAAACTTAAAGGGTTGTGTCCTAGACACGACCGCAGTATGACGTAGAACCACACAAAATTGATGTCCTAGCGAGAACATTATGAACAACTGTTAACCAGCAAAAAGGCTGTGATCTCCTGAACAGCTTTGCCTAAGACAGTAACTTTCTATCTGGTCAGGATCTAGAGATATTTTATATGCGAGAATTTCACAAGTATCGTAGCGCCGCTAAGTGATAAAACTCTGAACTACTGTCCACCTACGAAAAGGCCTTGACCTCCTGAACAACTATGCCGAAGACAGTACCTTCCTATCTGGTCGAGAACTCGAGATATTTTATATGAGAATTTCACGTGTATACTAGCGGCGCGTAGTGAGCAAATTCTGAACTATTGAGCACCAAGCAATAGACGTTGACCTCCTGAAAAACTTTGTGAAAGACAGTATCTTTCTATCTGGTCAGAATCTCGAGATATATCACATGCGAGAATTTCACATGTATTCTAGCGCTACATAGTGAGAAAATTCTGAATTACTCTCCACCAGCGAAAAGGTTATGATCTCTAGAACAACTTTGCCCATGACAGTAACATTCTAGCTGGTCAGGATCTCGAGATTTTCCATGTTGTAACCAATTAAGTCAAATCCCACGTAGTACGGATACCGTTTACGCGGTATCCTTTCACATTTTCTCTATTATCCGCATTTTTTGAGGGTTAACTGTGATAAAAGTTTAACTTGTATAGTTAAAAACAAGTTTATTAAGCCGTTGGTTTCATATCGATTGGTAGCTCGGCTGCAAAATGGCAATGGAAAACTCACACTGTTGTACAAAGTACAACGCGCGAGTACTCGTGTTACAAAAGTTGGCGCGAGTAACGAAGGGTTAATAAAAAAAATACCATAAACGAACGATAACACAAATGATTGAATTATTCCACAAATGGTTCGGACTATACCCCGAACACGACGTTAAGCAAAATAACCATACAAATTTTATTAGGCATGTCTAGTAGGAGTTGGGCCGCATACTCGCGGCATACCCTAAATTAGAGGGGTACATTGTCAAAACTTGGATAGACCTGTCCAGTGAATAGAATTAAATGGAGTCTATCCTATATTCACAATTTTTTCCCTCCGGATAATCAAGTTGATGGTCATTTGACAGTATTTCCCACTTTTTCTGAAATCGGGATGCAATCTTGGATTTTAACGATTTTAACATGGCTTCGATCTCTATCATCACCCCGATTCTAATAATACCAGTGAGGCCAGCTTTTACCGGTTCTTGATTTCAAATTCGATCGTCTTGTGGTAGACCCGTGATGACTACCTTGAAGGGCTTCTCACCGGAAAGTCACGACCAGGGCATATTCCGCTTTCGCATGCAGGATCACCTTGGTGCTGATTCTGGACCGGTTGTACTTAGCTGCACCGCCCAGTGGTACTTTCTTTACCACCAATGGAAGGGGTTTGACTCTTGCCGTACTCTGGCCGGCAGCATTCACGATTTCTATAGAGCCACCGAAATCACCGACGTCACTATCGTTCCTCGCTGTCATACTAACAATCCTTCCCTTCCCGGATGACTGTATGAGACGTGGTCGGCGCCACTATTGATCTTGAAAATACTGATTCACCAGAATTTGCACACTGAGATTGGATATGAATTGTACGGCCATCAATGCTCATTAGACCTGTTCATTTTAAACGAAATGTTCGGAATGTAACGGGTCAACCGTGATTACTGTTCGTCATGTTAATTTGAACTTTGTGCAAATTTTCAGCAAAATCGGTGTTGATTTAGAGGTGCTTCTAGTTAATTTTATGTTTTCAAGGTAATTTACGGCTTATAATATTTGTATCTCGAGACTGAAACAACGAAAGTTGCTGTAAAAACTTTCATAGCAAAGCTTAATGTGTTATCTACCAACTTTGTGGCCAAAGGTTGACTATTCGAAGTGATTTTATTGAATTTTCACTTAGTTTCATGCTCGAAGATATCTTAAAATGTGAAGAATTTTAAAGTATTTGTTCTACGAATTTTCCACCCATATGATATAAAAATGTGTAGTGTACGGCATAATGTTCCTCATATTGTTCTAGAAGTTTCGTTCCAACATAGTTTTCGTGTATATTTCATAGATTGAGAGATAAAAACCAGAAAAGAGGCCGTTTAGCTAAAATGCACAAGACAACAGAGCTAATAAAAGTCAATTAGATTGACAGAACATAGTTGCATTGCATTTCAATGACGACCGATGACTGTTTCATTGATATATGAAATATATCGAACAATATATCAAGAACAACATTTGAAAAGGGCATACAAGCTTTTTGTAAACAAACCTTCTTATGCCCTTTTCTCGCCACCCACATGACACCCACGCAAACCATCAACATCACCGGGTAGGGTAAACTTTCCCCTTCTCGATGATGTTGTTGCTTTGCGTGGGTGACCCTTGGTTGGCGAGAACAAGGCTTACAAAGGTTTGTTTACAAAAAGCTTGTATGCCCTTTTCACATGTGGCTCTTGATATAGCAATTTATAAAATAACGAACATTTTGAATGGCTCGAGTGACACTTGCCTTTGATAAAAAAAAAACACGTCTACCGTCTACTGAGGATTCATATTTATGAAAAAATCATATATCAATGAAACAGTCATCGGTCGTCATTGAAAAGCAATGCAACTATGTTCTGTCAATCTAATTGACTTTTATTGGTTCTGTTGTCTTGTGAATTTTAGCTAAACGGCCTCTTTTCTGATTTTTATCTCTCAATCTATGAAATATACACGAAAACTATGTTGGAACAAAACTTCTAGAACAATATGAGGAACATTATGTCGTACACTACACATTTTTATATCATATGGGTGGAAAATTCGTAGAACAAATACTTTAAAATTCTTCCCATTTTAAGATATCTTCTTAAATGTCTCTTAAATAAAGAAACCAACCCAAGCCTTAAAACAAGACGTAGGACATTAAAGCCAAAAGCAAACCGGTGCTGCATAGATTTCTTGCTGAAAAATCTCACTAAAAAGCGGTCCTACACTGTAAGAAAAGACGTATCGAATGATTCGTTATACGGTGTGTTAACAAATGCCAATATCTTGTTTTCGAACGTAACCAGAAACAAGTGAAACGGATGCCTAGCAGGTGGGTGCCTGGGTTAGAGATCCACCGTATATGGTCTGCAATACTTTCTTTTTGCTCTAGTGGAAACCTGTGGAAACACCATTTTTTAAATTTTTGTAATTTATTCAGAAAGCGATTATTAGAAACACAATTTCCAATAATATACTTTATTCTCACTGCAAAAATGTGCTTACGAAGCATCGGCAGACGTCCGACGACGTCCTCTAGGTGGTGTCCATTTCAGGACAACATAAACTACCAATAAACTCGACATCATAATTTTCGATTTAACAGAAAACAAACATATATGATAACTAAAGCTAAAAAATATCACACAGCTAGTAAAAGCGATCACGACCTACTGCAGAACCTGGCACTCGCCTTTCCCATCACCGTTCACAGCAGCTGAACTAGCAGTAGCAGCAGCAACAGCTAAATCACCCTCAAACTCCTTCGGAATCTGCCCTATCTCGACGATCGGATTGATCTTGGTTTTGTGCTTTCGTTTCGTCTTTCGTCCACTCTTGAACAGAATCGATTCGTCATACTTGAGCTCGTTCAGCGTTTCGAAGAGTTCCAGCTTTTTCAAATGGGTGATTAGATGGTGCGAGCCTTCGGAGGAAGGATTTTCCTCCAACGGAACAGATTCAATACCGTCAACGACGTCGCCCTCGGTGGGACCATTGCCTGCCACATTCGAGAGGCTGCCCGAGTCTGTGTCCTGTTCGAGACATTCATCTGCAACGACTATTTGACTGTCACTGTCGGTGGTAGTGAACAGTTCGAGATTTTTGTACAATATCGTGGCTTGACTGCTATCCGGAAGGGTGGACAATCGAACCAAAGATCGAGAACTTTCCACAATGAGGATTTCATGCTTGTGGACCGATATGTCGATGATTCTGCGAAGACGGGTCAGCGATGCGACGACCTTCATTTGGTCCAGATCCAACACAAACAGCATATCGTTAGCGACCGAAAGGAGATACTTGTCCTGGAATGTATAGAGAGTTCCGAAAGTGGTCGGAATTCTGATTGGGTGCTTACTGGGATTCAGTATGGGTATCTCCAACGATGGAACTTTGATCAATTCCTTGAAGATAAGTGTTTGTGCTACGTCACCTTCCAGATCGGCTACCCAGAGTCTAAACCCGGACCGCGTTGTCACTATTTGAATTTGCTTATGATACTCATGGAAGACTGCCCCAAAATGACTCAAAAGCTTCCGATCCTTCTTTCCCACCTGTGCCACACGCCATCTCTTGGAATCCTCCTGAGTGCAGATCACAGTGCGATATGCAGTTGAAACCAACAGTTTATCTTTCTGCAGGCTCATCTGGACAATCTGATACTTTTCATTTACAATCTCTCGGGCATCACAAGTCTTCAACTGATAATTGATTCCAGTTAGTACGACAACTCCGGAACTGTCGCCGGAAAACAGCTTCATCCCATTCTTAGACCAAACCAGATCGTTAATCTCCGCACGATGCACGTTCCGAATCGTGTATCGCTCCTTTGGTTTACTTTTGAGCAGCAACTCAGCACAGACATCCGGTGGTGCTTCCTTAGGAATTTGAAAAATATGTATGCACCCTTGACGACATCCGGCAGCAACCATAAACTCGACTGTGGAAATTATCCGAACGCATGTTAGATAGTTCGAGCTCTACAAAAAGGATATTGTTTCGCGTCATTATAATCAAATTATATGCCCTTTCACCTTACCTCAGCCTGTAGTCGTTCCACCGATCCACTCTTCCGGTTGTACCAGAATACGATCCCTACATTGGTTCCCAGAGCCACAAATTCGTCGATCAAATCCACGCAAGTAATGGACACATCGTGAAACAGTAGACCACGCTGCACCGTGGTCGGAATCTTGTTGACCAGGTTCACCAGTGGGGACCACTCGCGAAGCTCCATGTTTGTTTCTCCAAGCTCAACTGCGTGGCTCTTTTCGGAAGATTTTTTTTTTTCACATCACGGCCAATGATTCACACTGAATATTGATAAGGAAAAAACTTTCTTCGCTGCTTAAAACGTATGTATTGTATGCGGTGCTTACGAGATTATGCTACCTATCCTATCTCCAACGGGACCAAAGGTGATAGTCTGAGCACTATGATAGAACAGCAGGAGATTGCGCACCAGCTTGGCCAACCAGACAGCCAACTAACATGTTCACGTCCCAGATGGTCACATAAAAAGTGTAAACAAAGTGAACTGTCAAACGCAAGCAGTGCTGCCGGATTATTATTTTCATGGGTAGCTCAATCCAAGGGGTGCATCAAGAATGTTTTTCCACCAGAAAAAAATTATTATTTATTTTTACTGCTGAATTTCGAGTACACTCAAAAATAATACAATTCATTATCAGATTAAAAAATAAACATTTTTCAAATTTACCGGTTGTATACGCTCCTTATACCCCGTTCACATTACAGTCTATATCACGTAATATAGGCTGTCTTGCAATGAGCACTCATACATAGGATTTCCAGTGAAAACTAGATGTATGAGTGCCCATTGCAAGACACCGTATATCACGTGATATACGCTGTAATGTGAACGGGGTATTAGATTAAATTTTACACTATCATAGCTTAAACTTTATACCAAGTATGAATAGCAGTCAAAAAGCCATCCCAAATTATTCATGTGGTCCAAACTGGCGGTCATTAGTGCATATCAGTACTAACATTTGAAAACGGCGCAAAAGCCATTTGTAAACAAATGGTTTGTGGGCCCTTTACTCGCTACTCGAAGTACACCCACGCAACACAACAGCTACATCGGGTAGGGGAAATCTTCCCCTTCCTGACGATGCTGTTGGTTTGCGTGGGTGTACTTCGAGTAGCGAGTAAAGGGCCCACAAACCATTTGTTTACAAATGGCTTTTGCGCCGTTTTCAAATGTTAGTACTGATATTATGAAAATTGTGTCGATTTGGCTGGAAGTGGAAAATGTTCTAACCATTACGATGAACCCGTTGATTGAGTTTCATGGTGAATAACTAACGAATAAGATGCGTCAATTGATGGCCACTCCGTCGTCTTGCTGCTTCATTTATAAGAGTCCCGAGAATAATGAGCTTTTATTGGGGATGTTTCACAAAAAGTGGCGCACTCGGGTGCACTACCACTGTCTGGTAGGTTTGCTTACATTTGTTTGGTTGTGAATGATTAGCTAATGGGAAATTAATTTCAGCTGCTGACGTCGAATTTGGTCCAGCATGGGGAAAACGAGGAGGGAATCTTCGAATTCATGGAGGAGGACATCAGAAATAAGGAAGCTCGTATCCGAGGATAAAAGTGCTACATCTGCAAGGAACGGTATGCTAACGTTTCTTGCTGCGCAAAGAAGAGCTTCCGTATATTTCATACGCTCTGTGGGATGCGTCAGGCATCTTGTTGCATTACGTTCCAGTCGTGGTGCGATAAGCACGTAGCGCTGGTGGATAAGGTGAAATACTCCAAGACCGAGGCCTGTGGGGTTTGCAACGATGACATGGTACCATACAGGAAGCTGGAATCGATTCGTGCCCCGTGCTGTCAGAATGGCTGGTTCCATCGGAGCTGCGTGGCACAGTTTGCTCAATCGGCGGGGTACTTTCTCAAGTGCCCTTTGTGCAGCAACAAGGACGACTTTTGGCCAGGAGATGCAGCAGCGTGGGATTTATATACCGGAAAAGTAAGTGAGGCGGAAGTGGGTGAATTGGTATTGGAATACTGAATATTTTTTATTTGTTCTAGGGATGCCTCGTGGGAACTGGAACCAAATGCATTCAACAATCAGTAGAAACGTCCTTCAGAGTGTGACGCTGAAGCGTGCCGCTGTCAGTATGGGCGTGATTACGACGATTGCAAGTGTTGGGATCTGATCCAATGTGCAACGTGCGGTATGACTTGTTGCCACGATGAGTGCATGGAAGTTCCCTCGAAGAACTATGTTTGCACTTTTTGTCGTCCGATTGTTGGTGATGAGTCGCTGGGACCAATTTTGAGCGGAAGCAGCAACACGGGTGGAAGCCGGTAACGATAGCATAGAAGGGAGTTCTTAGGGGCCAATCTCGTAGAAGACGTCAGATTAAACCGGATGATTCAGACGGGGACAGTTTGGAGTCAGTTGCAATGACGACCAAACGCAAATCCAGAACAGACGAACCGTAATAGACTGTGACGACAGCGATTGGTCCCTAAACGAAATAAACCAACGTCGAAGCTGTAGTAGATAGAGTTAGAGTTGAACAAATAATGAGTAGAATCGAGTGAGCGTGAAGCATGATAGTCCGTATGTAAACGGAATCTCATTGGTTAGAGAATTTTGATAGGTTAGCAGGTATAAATATGAAGTACCTAAGCTCGTTGAAGTCCCCTCATCTCGCTTGAACGTCAAGCAGTACAGTTCGGTCTTTGCTCGCTCTGTCGAGTTGTTCAAAAGTTTCTAGTTTGTTCCAAACATTCGCAGTTTAATCGCGTCGTCAGTAGTGTCGGTCGCTTCGTGTGATGGGAAGACAGCGCTCCCGGAGCAGGCTCCGAGAGAAAACGGAGACGAAGAACAGCGGTGAGGGTAGCTTGAGTGTACCTATTTCGAATAGGTACGCTACTCTTCCCACCGATGTAGGGAATCCCACCTCAGCCACGGTGAAGCGGTCTAAGAAGAGGAAGAAAAATCAAGGCCAGTCCGATGGTGCGAGTGGACGGGACGATGCCACCGCGACGAACGTCAGCGTCATTGGTGATTTTGGCGACGCCGTCGACAACGAAACTGCTGCCAGCCCGAGTGCAGCAAAAATGAAGCTTCCTCCACTGGTGGTGAAGCAAGTCCCACTCAACACGCTGATTGGCGATCTTTCATCGCTGGGCGTTGCAGCTGAGTTTAAGCTCGGCAGGATCGGCACCAAGGTGATGCTCCGAACCAAAGCGGAGTACGAAGTGGCCGTGAAATATCTGAAGGATACCAAGGCTGAATTCTTCACGCACGACATCCCCGGTGAGAAGCCCTTCAAGGTAGTCATCAGGGGTCTACCAAACTTCGACCCCAAGATGGTCGAAGCCGAAATCAACCGGTACAAGCTAGCCCCAATCGCTGTCTTCCGAATGACAAGGAGAGATGAAAACGTGAAGACGTACCCGGATTGTCTTTTCCTGGTGCACTTCCAGAAAGGGACGGTGACGCTCAATGCGCTACAAGCCATCCGATCGATCTACTCCATCATCGTACGGTGGGAGCCATACCGTGGCGGTCATCGTGACGTAACGCAGTGTCAGAGGTGCCTCAATTTTGGACACGGTACCCGCAACTGCAACATCAAGCCACGCTGCAGCAACTGCGCTCAAGAACACGCCACTTCCAACTGCCCTGCGGATGGAGCCGTGGCGATAAAATGCGCTAACTGTGGTGGTGCACATCAAGGCTCTGACAGACAGTGCTCCAAACGCGAGGACTTCAAACGCATCCGAAAGCTGGCGTCAAGCAACAATCAACCAGGACGCAAGAAGGACAAAACCCCATCATTCAGGACGGAGGATTTTCCGCCTCTTCGTGCTCCCCAGCAAAGGCAAGCGAATTCGCGGGTGCAACCCGCCCCTCCTCAAGAAGCTTCCGGTGATTCTGCTGGCCAAAGCTCTCCATCCCCCCCTGGATTCTGGAGACAACCAACAGGACAAAACAACAACCCCGATCTGTTCTCAGCGGATGAACTGATGGAAATTTTCGTCAACATGTCCGGTGCTCTTCGTAAGTGCCGCAATAAGCCCGAACAGATCCAAGTGCTCGGTAAGTTCATCATCCAGTATGGCGTCTAAACCGCTAACTATCGTCACCTGGAATGCTTGCTCTGTAAGAGCAAAAAAGATTGAGCTTGCCGACTTCCTCCGCAAGCACAGCATCGACGTGGGCCTTCTAACCGAGACCCATCTAAAGTCCGGCGACAGCTTCTGGTTGCCTGACCACAACATTATCCGGCTTGATCGCACCAGCTCCAGGGGGGGTGGTGTTGCGGTCGTCGTCAAGAAAGGAAAAAATACCACACTCTGTCCCATATCCGCACCTCTATCATCGAGGCCCTTGGTGTGGAGGTGGAGTCGTCGACTGGATACGTCCAGTTCATCGCCGTCTACTGCCCTCGACAGTGTGCCGCCAGCAGTGGACTAGCGGCTAAATTCAAGAAGGACCTGTCCACCATCACCCGTAACGGTTCCCGCTTCGTCGTTGGAGGAGATCTGAATGCTCGCCATGAGGCCTGGCGGAACTACCAGCAGAACCAGAACGGTCGTCTCCTGTTCGACCACTCACAGCATGGGCTGTACTCCGTTTGGTTTTCGGATGAACCAACATTCATCTCACCGGCAGGCAACCCATCGACGCTAGACCTGTTCATGACAAATATCGGCTTGTCCAAGCCGGTAGCCTTGAACGAACTCAGCTCCGACCACCAACCGGTGGTGGCTGAACTGGGCTGCAACGTGGCTCCTGCTTCAAGTCTGCGCAAGGACTACCATCGCGCAAACTGGGCCCAGTTTGGACGCGTGGTAGACAGGCACATCATCGACAACCCGCCGCTTGACACCGTGGAGGACATCGATCGAGCGTTGGAGGGACTCCATCAAGCCATAACCGTGGCTGACGAGGCGTGCGTCCGACGAGTTCCTGTGAGGGGTAAGTTTATTGCCACTGATTCCCACACCCAACTTTTGATTCGCCTGAGAAATGTTCGTAGACGCCAGTTTCAGAGGACTGGAGATCTGGGCAAAAAACGTGAAACGGCTGATCTGAACAGACAGATTGCTTCCAGAATGGACTCACTCCGAAATGAAAGTTTCGGGCGTGTTGTCCAGAATCTGGACGACCGCTCCAGACCATTCTGGAAGGTAGCCAAGGTCCTGAAAACTCATCCCAAACCCATTCCACCTCTCAGAGTCGAAAATGATGACGATCGGCTTTTAATCACCCCACAGGAGAAAGCAAATGCGATCGGCGAGCATGTCGCTTCATCGCATTTGCTTGGCTCGAATATCCAAAGTCCGCTCGAAGATCAGGTTGCGCAATGCGTTCAAAACCTAGATGCCTCCCCTTGTGTCGTGCCTCCGGCGGATATGATTACAGTACAACAAATTTGCTCAGCGCTGAAATGCACCAAGAACATGAAGGCTCCCGGGTTTGA